AACTTTTTTGATACTTGTTGAGTGAATAACAGTTTTTAATAATTGGGATCTCTTGTTGTATGTTTTGAGTTCAAGTGAAGAAAACTTACCCAGAGGCTGGAATGTCATTGCTCTGATAGAAGGATTGCACATTCCAGCCCAGTTTAGGCAGCTTGGCAACTTAGTGAGACCCTACATCAACATTAAAACAAAAATAAAAAAAGAGGTGGGAAGTAGCTCAGTACACAGGCGCTGGGTTCAATCTCCAGTACCAGAAAGGACACCCCTACACCCTAAAAAAGAAAGAACAAAATTCCGTTCCCGGAGGGGTGGAACACATGTTGACCACAAACCACAGCGGGGACTTCTTTCCCTGTAAAGGTTTATATTTAAACGTGGTTGAGTCATGAGCCTTATCAGGAAGAGACTGCCTTCAGTACCAGCCAGCTCTGTGTGTGCCTGGCCTTCCATGACGAGCCAACATTTTTTCTTTCTGTCCCAAGGTGTTTTTTTTTTTTTTCTTTTTTGGGGTGCCAGGGGTAGAATTCAGAGCCTTGCGTGTGCAGGCAGGAACTCACCGTGGAGCTGCGTCCCTAGCCTCGCCCGAGTTCTCCAGATAGGCTGATAATGAGTGTGTATTTCACTATATCTGGGAAGTTGATGGCAATAGTGTACTTCACACAGTGATGTACTTCTTACCTCTCAGAATAAAATAGCCAGGATGATTCTGAACTGAAGGATGTTGGAAATGATTTTTAAAAACCAGAGAAATGTTACACGCTCACCTCTGAAGCAGTGTCAGTATGTGCAGTTTATATGAACTGTCATTAGTTTATACTCAAGTCACGTTACAGATGTCTGTAGTTCCGTAAGTTTTGTAAATAGAAAGCGCCCAGTTCAAATAGGCAAGCACAGAGGCTCTATTAAAAATCATTTGATAGTGAGAGTCCCCTTCTCTTCCTATTGATTAGAAGAGAAAGCAGGGCAAAGTCTGCTGCTGATTGTGCACAGCAGAGCATCACTTGGGACTCAGCCCGATGACAGAGGCCCAAGGGTTCTAGGTGACGACATAGATGGACTGGAGAACTGCAGTGTGATTTTGCTGCCACAAGAAATTAATAATATCATGAGCAGCATGCCGTGTTGAAGGAGAGAAGTTTATAGCCATGTTCTCCCTTTCTAATCGCTTGAAACCTTCCTTCTGCCCTGATCCACCTCTGCGTTAGAATAATAACAAATGGAATTTCTGTAGCAGAGGTTGTCAGACTAAAGACCCAAGCCACCTGCTTTTATGAATAAAGCTTTACTGTTGTAACAAGGCTGTGCTTATGTGTAAGTTAGCGTATCTTCTGCAAATGCTTTCCTGTTTCGGGGGCGGTGTTGTGCGTTTGTCACCATTCGACCTCCAAAGCCTAAAATATTGGGCCTTTTACAGAAACAAGCTCTCCAGCTCCTTGTTGAGTAAGCTAGACCCAGGTGAGGGAAATTGAAATCTTTGTTAAGAGGAGCAGCAAAGGGTTACGGGAACAGACAAGGGAAGATTGGGGTGTAACGGGAAGGCTTTCTCCAAGTATCTGAAGGACGGTTATTTTGAAGAAACATTGGACTCTTGCCTGCTACTTTGCCGAGTAAAATGAAAACGGCTAGACGGTCTAGGGTGGGGGAAGCCTATCAGTATATAAGAAAATTATTTGAATGTTGGATTGGGTTGCTTTGGAGGAAATGAGCTTTGCTTTGTTTTTAGGACCAGCTGACTGGCGCCTATTTGCCTAGAGAGGATCAAACGTGATGGATGCGGCTTTCCAGGAGATTTCCCTGAGCACTCCTGTAGCTGAGGTTCTCGCCTAGGCGTGATTCCTTTAAGCTCAGGCTGAGGTCTTTGAACGTTCTTCCAGGACTTTGTAGATTACTAAACCAAGCAAGTCAGGGTAGGTGTTATCTGGGTTAGTTCCCACGTTCAGGTTTTCGAGTGTATGCCAAAATATCTTTCTAAAGCAGAATAACAGGACATTTAACAGGCATTAGCCAATACCACAAATCTAGTTTAATACCTTTGAAATTTATATTTTGGATTGTTCCCTTATGCCTGTGGAGGGTTTAAGTTATTCTTCCTGTTGATTCACAAGGTTGTTTAGAGTTTTGGTGTCTATGCCAAGGGACATGTGACCTTAGAAATGCTCAGGTGTGTGAGATGGAGCACTGTATGTTGTTTGCATTTATTGTTTTACAAATCTCACATTAATCTTTCCTTGCTGTATTTGAGTCGATCAGCTATTATTGAATGTCAGAGATCTGAAATCCAGATAAATAAACCGGCTTTCTTGTGTTTGGTTTTATATTCTTATCTTTTATATTGGTTTCCTGAAGTAGAGATTTAAAGCTTCAAAATTTAAAGAGCTTTTCATGTCAGAATATCATCCTCTAAGGATCTTGTTTGAGATCTAAAGTAAAATTATGAAAAGCTACTGAATGAGTCCCAGTCAGTAAACATTTGAATTAAGAACATTATACCATTATACATTGTATACCATATTAGGTGTTTATGTGATATCTTAAACTATTTTCTTCTGGTTTAAACTCATAACTTTTGTGCTTTGCAGTAGGGGGTGAACTCGAAGTGGGTGATTTCTCATCTGTCTGGCTGCTGGTTGTTTCATGTGTTTGGGGTGCAGACTCCGGTGAAGTGCCGTCCCTCCCACCTTGTCGTCTGCAGCCATCGGGGTTCGTACGGTCTCCAGATACTCAGTCTGTACACTTAAAGTTGTCTGATCCTGTCAGCTTGGGACGCCTTCATTCTGTACGGGTTCTGACCTAAGGAGGGAAAGTTCTGTCAGCTGTAGAGTGGAAGTTGAAAGCCTAGTAAGAGCTGAAAGTTTCGTGGGAGCAGTGAGACTAAGTGTGCTCCTGCTCAGTCTGTCTGCAGTTTTATATCCTCTCGCTCTGGCCAGGAGAAGCAAGCTACACTCTCCAAAATCTTCCCACCACCTGCCTGTCCTGGATCCTCTATCCTGGGTATCTCACTATAGTTGAAGGGGTTGGGGTTGGAGAAACGGAGCAACTTCAGCATGGAATCTGTCAAATAATTTTTTGTTTGAGATTTTTGCTAATGGTATTTTAATTATTTTCTTTGTGCTTACTTTTTTGTTCCATCATACTTTTAAATTTTGAAATACCGCAAGTTTTTTCTTTAGGTTTATTTATAAAATATTCAAGAAGAAACTGGACCTTTAAATTATGATTTAAAATATGTTAACTGTTATGGTTAGTTTCTGGATGGCCCCCCAAGCCTCATGCGGTCATGGAGGCGACTCGATCTAGCATTTGTGATTGGTTTGTTGTCTAGCGCTGGGATTGGTGGTGTGAGTGCCCGGTTTGCTCTTGTGGTTTGTAGCCACCGTGAACGGCTGCCCCTTAGCGACACCACTCTGCCTTGGAGCCAGCTGATCATGGACTGAAACCTCCAAAATCTGTAAGCTAAATAAGCCTTTCTTTCCTTCCTTCATCTTTGGACATCAGGTATTTTGTCTCAATGAGACAAAAGTAACCAAGATGGAAACTATCAAATGTTTGCCTCTTAGTTTACATATATATATGTATAAATGCATACAGTATAAAACATAACCCGACCTTTCAAACACTTGACATACATCATTTAAATGTCAGATGGTTGAATTAAGTGCTATTAATCTAAATAATACTGTGGAATCTTGAGAGTGATGTGCCCTCAGAGGATTCCATTAAAAAAAATTACTGTGAAACTCCTTGACAAGTGAGACTCTCTCATGTTTTATATTCTTCCCCAAGCCTAGTGGAATGCTTTCTGCATACCAGAAGAAAGATGGGGAGAGGGAGGGAGGTAAAAGGAGGCAGAGAGAGAGAGAGAGACAGACAGACAGACAGACAGACAGACAGAGAAAGAGAGAAGGGAACGGAGAAGTAAGTCGTGACTCTTGGGGTTTTACACATATGTATATCTGTTAAAATGTCCTTTGAATTTTTATCAAATAGCTCAGTAATTAAGGCATAAGCTCTCTTACTGTACAACCCTTTGTCTCCTTGGCTGACTTATGAAATCTGCTTTCCTCCTGTAAATGGGTCTGTATTCTCTTGGTGCTCGAAATACATATAATAATAATAGCTGTGTTATATTTACTAAGGCTGGGTAGTGTTGTAAGTGCTTTACATATATCATTAACTTAATCCTTGTGAGTGTCCTGTGAGGTAAGGGTCAGCATTCTCACTTGACAGCTGAGTAACCGAGGAGGTAACGTGCCCAAGGCAGCATAGGTGGTAAGTGTGCTAGGAACGGTGTCACGGGGGACGAAGGGAGATTGAGAATGGGTGTGGCCGGTGTTTGACTGTAGACTGCGTAATAACTGCGTAATCACTGAGAATATGTAAGCAATGTAATTTTTAAAAACTGAAACACTATTATAAAAGTTGATTGAGAGGTAAGAGAGAAGCAGTGATTACCTGGGGCTTTGGGCTTTGGATGAGTACATGTAAATGAAACAACCAGTGGATGATTAACTCTGATTTGGGCTTGACTTTTAGATTAGCCCTATGAGTGACCCATTTTTTTTTCTTCTAGTGTTGGAGATTGATCCCAGGGCCTTCACACTGAGCTGTGTCCCCGGCCCTTTTTCTTTCTTTCTTTCTTTCTTTTTTTTTTTTTTTTTGTTGTTTGTTTGTTTGCTTTTAAATTTTGACACAGGTTCTCACTAGATTGCCCAGGCTGGGCTTGAATTTGCAGTCCTCCTGCCTCAGCTTCCCAGAGTGCTGGGATTATAGTGTGTGTCCCTTTGCTGGACCGACCCTTTCCTCTTGCCATCAGAGTAATACCTGAGTGTGCTTTACAGTCTTTGCCCTATTCATATTGTTCTTCTAGTCTTGTTAGTTAGATGAGCACATCATACAAATAAATGTACTCTGCAGGTTATTTTTATACTATTATTTTCTTTTGAAAAACTGTCCAATATGCTAGTATGCAAGGATTGACTGAGTGTTTCATTTCTTAACAGTACAGTGCTGTGGACACCAATCCTCTCTCTCTGTATGTCATGCATCCATTTTGGAACACGATAGTGAAGGTAAGGTAATTTATAGGCATGCCTGTTCTGTTTAGTTCAGTTTTAGGTATCTTAACCTATTTTATAGTCTTAGGGATGCAGCTATAAGATACCTGGATATCCTACACTATTTGTCTTTTTGGGGGGCATTTCTGAGACAGGGTCTCCTGGTGTGGTCCAGTCTGGCCTTGAACTTACTATGTAGCTCACGACAGCTGCCTGGCAATCCTCCTGCTTCAGCCTTCTTCGAGCTGGGGATATAGGCATTCACCATTCCTCCTGGCTTGTCATACTACACTTTCTATTTTTTTCCCCCTTAGTCACATATCTTGTTTTATCTCATTGTTGAAATCTAAATCCATATAATGCAATCTATCATTTTTATAAAATGACTTTTTTTTTTGGTACTGGGGATTGAACTCACGACCACGTGCTTGCAAGGCAGGTGCTTATGCCACTGAGCTAAATTCCCAGCCAAAATGACTTTTAAAATAAATTTAATTTTATGATTATAAAAATTTGTGGGCAGCCAGGTATGATGGTGCATGCCTGTAATGCCAATACTTGAGAGGCTAGGCAGGAGGGTAACTGTGAGTTCAAAGCTAGCCTTGGCTATGTGGTGAGTTCAAGGCCAGCCTGAACTACATAGTGAGTCCTTGTCTAAAACAAAACAAAGCAAAACAAAGCAAACAAAACAAAAAACAATTTGTGGATTGTAAGAAATGCTTCTTTTTTGGGGAGGGCAGCGTCTCTCTCAGGCCCAGGTTGGTCTTGAACTTGCTGTAATCCTCCTGCCTCAGACTCTAGAATCCTGGGATTACAGATATGCACAATTATGCCCAGCAAAATGCTTATTTCTATCAACTGGAGATTATGGTTTACTTTTTAATGTGTGTAACTCTCATATATGGTCTTTCACATTAATAGCTTTTATTACTTGAATTTGTATGTGGTGGTGTTTCCCAAAGATTCTTTTAATTATTTTATAATTATTTTGAAAAACAGGCATTCCCTACTTGGCTGGCTCCGAATTTGATAACCTTGTCTGGTTTTCTGCTGGTTGTATTCAATTTTCTACTTATGGCATACTTTGATCCTGACTTTTATGCTTCAGGTAAGAATATTACCTTAATATAAAGTTTAAACTATCTGAGTAGAAAAAAATGTGGCATAAGTGGTTATTTTCTCATCATATTACGGTGCTGAAAAGTTTTGGGTGTTATAATGTTATTTAAAATGTCACAATTACATATGAAAGCTGTGTTGTGTTTTTACAGTATTATGTGTGTTTCCATTAAGCTCTAGAAATATAACACCATTTTTCCTTCCCGAATTTAGACATGCTGTCTAAAAAGCAATGAAGTTTTGGCAAGTAAAGAATTGTTAGATTTTCATGAAGACAGAGATTTAGGATAGTGAAACTACCTAAAAATGAATATAACCAGGCCCCAGCGTACCTATCATCCAGGAATATCCCTTCCTCCCTCTTTGCTAGGGATGGAGGAAAAGTTCCCTTTCTCCTAAAAGGGGTTGTGGTCTGTGCTTCCCTCCATCCTTTCTGTACTCGCCTCGGATGACTCCCAGTTCCCTCTGAAAGTGGTTCCTGGACCTAAATGTTCTACGTGTTTTCCGCAGTACACATTTGCAGTGCATCATGATCACATTCCTCGTGGCAGGCTGGTGCACAGCGCGTCTTAGTTCTGGACCCTTGTTGGAGAAGAGAGGATGGAGACCTTTGGGAGCCGTTGTCCAGCTGCCTGCACCCTGCGGCATCCCTTCCCACACCCTTTGCTCTGCTGGGCCGCAGGCAGCTGTTTTCCCAGCCACAGGAAAGAGTGTGGGGCGTTTGGAGGACGAGGGAGCAGGGAGACAGGGTTCGTTGTTACTGCTCAGCCAGTTCATCGAGTGGGAAGGAGTTCAGAGGTGGAGGCCAACTGTAACTTTGCCCTCAAATTGGATATTTGTTTTCTGATAAGAACACTTATTAATGAGCCAGGCCTTGCAGCTCACGTCTGCAGTTGCAGCAATTTGGGAGACTGAAGCAGGAGCCCTGGGCTACCCAGTGAATTTAAGACTGCCCTGGACAAACACAGCGACATCCTGTCTCAAAAGAACGACAAAATCAAAACTTACCAACAATCAAGTCAGGAGTCTTAGTATTATAATTCACCTATTTTAGGGGTTCAGCAGACTTTTGTGGACTACCTGGAAGAATCAACAGCCATGGACAGCATTGTTTTGTAGAAAAACTTGGGAGTTTTGATCACTTAATACTTTTGATGTTACAGAAATTCTAAATGTTGAAACTATGTAGATGTTGAATTTTGTCAACTGAAACTTTTAGCTAGAACATAGAGCCAAACGGTCACTGAAGTCTTAAATACCAATCAGAAGCACGAGAAGATCCTAAAGTGCTACAAGAATAAGCAGGAACGTTAAATGTCAGTAAGCTTGGTTTTGGTAATGTGAGGCTTTTGTTAGTTTAGATTTTTGATTTTGTATTTTAAGCCACAGGAAATGCTAAAATATTTATGTTTGTAATTAGAAGTATTACCTTCTCCGACTACTCAAAATAAAATTACTGTCTCATTACATAGAGAAATAAGAATATATAAAATTACATATATTTCTCCAAATCATGGAACGTGAAGAACCCATAAGCCGTCAAGTCTCAGTATGCTTGGAAAATGCCAGTTAGGAAAAGTGGAATGACGCATTCAGGGCTACACTGCTGATTGACTACAGAGGCAAGGTTAGAACCTGGACCTCTAAATCCTCGGTGGTTTTATCAGAGGGAAAAATACCCGACATTTTAGATGATTCTGCTGCCCAAATGAGCTAGTTGAGGAATCTGTCTGTAATCATACAGGGAGGAAGTGTAGGGTGAAGGCTCTGTGTGGCTTTTCTTTTTTTTTTTTTTTTTTTTTTTTTTTTTTTTTTGTCTTTTTCATTTTTATCGGTACCAGGGATCGAACTCACGACTGCCTGCTTGCAAGGCAGGCACTTATGCCGCTGAGCTAAATCCCCAGCCCCTGTGTGGCTTTTCTATTGCTGAGATGAAGCTCCTGACATCCACAGTGTGGAGAGTGTCGGGGATTCAGTTATGACTGATTCAGCCCCAGACTGATTCCAGGGCAAAAGCAGTGTGGTGGTCGGGCCTGGGAAAAATCTGCTCAGGTCGTGATGGTCAGGAAGCGGGGATAAGTGGGGAGCCAGGAGGAGAATATATCCTTCCAAGTCACACCCCGAGTGGCACTTTTCTGACCAGGCCTCCAAATGTGAGACTTTGGGGGGCCATTCTAGATACGAACCATAATATGTTTGTGGTATAATCACAAACAATAAGAATTAGTTTATCTATAGTCATTTTTCTAAGTTTTAAAAATGTACTATTTTTCATTGTGAGCTGATAAAATCATTTTCAAATAAAGAGGAACACTTAGTTTTGAATTACAGTACAAGCTTGATATAAATACTTGATGCACATGAGGGGTTGAGGAGTTGCATCTTGGGTTTTGGCAGTTTTTAATACATTGTAGTGTTTATTTAGTGGTGCATTCAGCATGCCCTATAAAGTCTCTAACACCAAGAAGCACCTCTCACTGGTAGAAACGGTTTGGTAAGAACTGTTGCAGGAAGACCGTGTTCACACCTGGTTGCTTTCTCTTGCAGCCCCGGGTCACAGGCATGTGCCTGACTGGGTTTGGATTGTTGTGGGCATCCTCAACTTTATGGCCTATACACTAGGTAAGAAATGGTAAATACTGATATTTAGGAAGTTTCCCCCTTTTTACTAGCATGCTTTTGCAGTGCCTAATACAAATGTTTGTCTTGGGGAATCAGTGCGTATTCCTGTGACATCTCAGGCCTTTTTCCTGCCCCTTCCCTCTCGGTCCCTCCTGTCTTCCTCCGACTTTAGGCGCCCTTCCAGTCTCCACAGGTCTGTTTCCTGTTTTCCTGTCATCGTCTTTATGCTTTGGATTTCTCGTATAAAAGAAGCCGTGCAATATTTAACCTTCCATATCTGATACATTTTACTTAGCATTATGATCTCAAGGTGCATCCATTTTCTTACAAATGACACAAATTTACCCTTCTTTATGGCTGAGTAGTGCTTTGGTGTGTATGTGTGCATTGTCTCTATCCATTCTCTTTATATGTTTATGAACCTGGAGGCTGCTACCAAGATTTAGCTACTATGCATTGTGCTGCTATGAACATAGAGATGCATGTATTACTGTAAGCCAGCGTCTTGCACTCTTCAAGAAAACCCAGAATGAGCCAAATCAAATAGAATTTTTATTTATTTGTTTATTCATGCATCTGTGTAGTATTATACCAGTTTACATTCCTGCCGACCAGGCAGAAGGGTTCCCTCTTCCTCACAGCCTCATACAGTGTTCTCTCTAGTGTGAGACTCTCAGCGTTGTTTTGACTTACATTTCTCTAATGGTCAAAGATGCTGAATGTTTTTTTTTAATATGCTTATTGGTCATAGGTACTTCTTTTTTGAGCTGATTTTCAATTGCTTGCTTTTTGATTGCAGCTTTTGGGAGGTCTAATTTTTTTATTTCTTTATATATTTTATATATTAGTCCTCCATCTAAGGAATAGTTGGCAAAGATGTTTTCCCCATCCTGTAGGTTGTCTCTTAACTCTGTTGGTTATTTCCTTTTGAATTTGATAAAATTCCATTTGTTCATTCCTGGCGTTATTTCTTACACAGTTGGGGTTCTGTTCAGAAAGTCCTTGTCATAGCCATAGGATGTCTTTAGGAATTTTACCTATTTTATCTTCCAGCAGATTGTTTCTGTTTTAATATCGAGGTCTTTGATCCATCTGATTTTATTTTAGTACAGAGTAAGAGATGATTCTAGATTCATTCTTCTGCATATGGATAGCCAGTGTTTCCAACACCATTTGCCAAAGGACGCTCTTTGCTCCAGCCTGTTTGTGGCTCCTTGTGGAAGGTCAGGTGGCCGAGTGTGCCTGGGGCTGTTTCTTCATCTTTGATTCTGTCCCATTGCCTGGTGTGTTTACTTTGTCCCTGTCCAGGCTGCTTTTATCACTGTAGTTTTGTAACATAACTTGAAATGTAACTTGAAGTGGGATTGTGAGGCCTTCTGTCTCTAGATAATGTAATTTTTCTTTTGAAGCTATGGTATTGTTTTTCTAATTTCTTTCTCAGTGGGTTCACTGATATACAGGAACACTGGGCTGGGGATTTAGCTCAGCGGCATAAGCGCCTGCCTTGCAAGTGCATGGTCATGAGTTTGACCCCTGGTACTGGTAAAAAAAAAAAGAAGATATACAGAAACACTATTGATTTTTTGTGTTTTGATTTTGTATCCTGCTATTTTGCTGCATTTGTTGATTCTAAGGAGTTTTTTGGTGGAGTGTTTAGAGTCTTCTATGTATGGGATTGTGTCATTTGTGAATGAAGAGAATTTGAGTTCCTCCTTTCCTCTATGAATCCCTTTTAGTTCTTTTTTCTTGCCCGATTGCTCTGACTGGTGTTGCTAGGACCATATTGAACAGGAGCGGTGGTAGCAGACACTCTTAAGATCTTCCTGAAAATACTGATTTTAGTCAGTGGATGGTTAATCAGCAATTACAAGCCACCCACTAATTCACATTTTCTCATGTGCTTCATTCTTTTTAACTGGAGTTTATTACTACCCTGTTCAAATTAGTAAATGTGATTTTTAGTACATGGAAAACATTATCATTCTCTACTTGGGATAAATAGAAGTTGGCAGCTACTGTTCGCAGGCCCCAGCTGTCCCACGGGCCGGTTTTGTAAACGTTTTACTGGAGCACAAACTACTGCACATTCCTTCCTTTACACACTGTCGGTGTCTCCTTCCCTGCAGTAAAGACAAAGTCGTATAATTTGCAAGACTCACAAAGGGTGTGGACCATAAAGCCTAAAATACTTATTATCTGACTGTAACCCAGAAGTTTGCCAGCTCATTTCAGACGTTCTGCGTAGGTTTGGGAAGCAGTCTGGTGGGCAGAACGGTGAGGGAGCCGCCCCAGTAGGACGCAGCGGGACAGCAGGAGGCGGTTGGTGCTTCCTGGGCAGAGGGGTGAAGTGGGGTCACCTGCCTGGCTTGTCCTGCAGTGTTCTCTTCTCCTGTGCTTTTCTCCGTAGTATTTATTTCTTTAGGTTCTTTTTTTGAAACAAGGTCTCGCTATGTATTCCAGGCTGGCCTTGAACTCACTGTGTAGTGCAGGTTGGCCTCAAACTGACGGCGATCCTCCTGCTTCTTCCTCCTGAGTGCTGGGATGATAGGCGTGTACCACCGCACCTGGCTCTCTGTACTTTCTAAAACCATTTGTTGCCAGGGATACACCTCAGCGGCATAAGCGCCTACCTGGCAAGCGCAAGGTCCTGAGTTCAATTTCTGATACTTAAAAAAAAACATCTATTACCTGCTTGTCAGTCATCGGTCCTAACTAACCGTTAGAGTGAGGAGCACCCTTGAGGGTGGTTGTCGCTTTGTTCATTGCGTGTCTCTAGTGCCTAGGACAGTGCCTGAAACGTAGCAGACTCTCAGGTACGTAGTTGTTAAGTGTAGGTAAAATAGGAGCTGCTGACTTCAAGTTGCTTAGATCTTATCAAATAAAAACCAGTATCACTTGTACATTAAATCAAAAACCAGTGTAGCTTGGTACATTAATGCTGATGTGGCAGAACCAGCACTGTAGGAGTTTGGAGAAGGGAGAGAAGAATCGGGAAGCTGCAGTGAAAAGTCACATTTTAAGTAGGGGCTTTTGTGTATCTGGTAATAAAAACGGAAAGGTTTATAAATGCTGCTGATGAGCTCAGTTGCCAGAGGCTGCTGCCAAGAATAAAGGAAAAGAAAAGGCGGCCTGTGAGTTCTGACTTCTGACAGCCTCCCGTCAGCCTTTTAATGTACCTTACGATCTACGTGTGTTTTCAAGGCTGTAACCTTTTGGCAAAAATCCTGACCTAACATGAACTATTTGTTGCAAAACCTGTCTTGAACTAACATGAAGCAGTTTATAATTTTTATCTTACAAGGTGTGACTATTAATGCATTTTGGTACAGAAATAGTAGTGTGTGTGAGCCCAGGTCTAAGTCCTGGGAGCGTCATAGGAGTTGTCTTTTGAGACATATATAGAATATACCCAGAATTAGCTTTCTGGAGAAAAAAAATTCGGAGACATTCCTGGACATCAGACTTGTGAAGCTGGAAGGGGCTCCTTGAGAAAACTTACAAAACCTAATTAAAATGTATTTTATGATGTTAATATAGTGTAGTATACAGGAGCCACAGTGAAAATAGGAAAGTATTAAACTCGCAAATAATGCAGAAGACTGGGGGGGGGGGGTAGTTCAGCTACACAAGGCAGGAAATTTCCCAGCCCTGTACGACAGATTCGCAGGGTTTGAGCAGGTGTGTTGGGATTTCTCCTTTCGTGCATCCCTTCAACTGTGTTTAGAAAGGCTGTCTTCACCCCAGACAGACCCAGGCACGAGGATAACAGCCTGGGGAGCAGGGTGCACACGGCTGCTACGGGATCCTTTTGCACCCACACCTGGGATGGAACCCAAGGCCTCCTGCGTGCTGGGCTCGCTACCACTGAGCTACACACGCAGCCCCCTTTCTTCCTTTTTAACCAGGTTTTGTTACAAGTCTGTTTGGTCCCCTAAATTACATTATCCTGCTATGCCTTCCCCGTGGTGTCCTCTTTCCCTCATCCCGTGGATCCTGGTACTTAACATCCTTACTTCTCATAATTCCCGAGTTCGTATCTCGCCTCTTTGATCCTCTGTGCCGCTAGTAAGTGCTCTTGGGCTGAGCTGCTGGCCGTGACCGTGTGCGGAGCTCATCAGCCTCAGCCACTCTACCTGAAGTGGTGGTCCTTCCCCTCGCCCCTCTCGCCGCTGCTTCTGACCTCTTTCGTGGACACTGCTGTGCTCTTAGTTATGTGGTCTAGAACCTTCACAGATGGTCTTTTAGGCTTTTCATCTCTTCTGCAAAATTCTCATTTTTATTGCCTTAGTATTTTGCCTGTCCCCCGCTTTTCATGCCCACTGCACCCCGATTTGGCCTGCTGTGGCGCCTCCGTCTAGCTGTGATGCCATCTGCATCTTTTTTAAAGCATGGTATTCACTCTTGTCAGCCTCCCATTCGTGCAGCTTTTAGTAGCGGTAGTTTTTAGACTTCCTAACACTTTTAAACTGGCTCAGACCCTTCCCTAGCTTTTGTATATTGCTGCGTTTACCTGGCTCCTAGTCAGACGACGCTCCCTGTGTTTTCCGAATGTGTGTTACACGTCTCCGTCTCAGGGCTTGTTACTGGTGGCACTCCCGCCTCTGAAACAGCGACGTGTCTATCTCATACCTACTGAAATCCAGCTCGTCCTTCATGGCCTCGCTCGGATTTCATCTTGTCTTAAAGCCACTCTGGATTGTCAGCCCGAAGGAGCCCTCTTTGGCTTACAGGCGGCGTTTTATGATTCATGACACAACCAGCCCTTTGTTACCATCTTTGTCCCTTTCTCAGTTATAAACGCTCTGAGGGGACAAACCTAGTTGATTCCAAGATTCTTGTGTTTGTCCAGCGCCAGTGGTAGTGCATGGCACGTGGTGAATAAATTTATGTTTTCTATTTGCCGAGCACCTCCTGATACATTTTTCGACAACGTTGAAATATGGAAGCAGTCACTCATTTCACACGGATGGGATAAAATAGGCCTGGGCCCAGCAAACAGCGCTTAGATAAGTTGGGATGAAAAGTTGATAAATGTTTGAGAATTCATGATTAGTAGAGTAACGTCATTGGGCTGTTCGGAAGAACTGAAAGAATTCAGAGTCCAGCTAAATATTTCTTCAATCTAAAAATGACATCCTTCAGTGTGCTGTAATATTTTGAGTTTTAGACTATACTTTAAAAAACTGTACATCTTTATTTCTAAAATATTTGCGTTGTGGGAATTAAAGATACGGTTTTTATAGTATTGGCTGGTGGCTACCCCTAGCAGCTCTGTGATGCACTGATTTGTTTTCCCACCGTGCTGATACAGATGCTGACCGTTTCTCATGATGTGCTTGTATTGCAGATGGCGTGGATGGAAAGCAAGCCCGGAGGACCAATTCTAGCACCCCGCTAGGGGAGCTTTTTGACCATGGCCTGGATAGCTGGTCATGTGTTTACTTTGTTGTAACTGTGTACTCCATCTTTGGACGAGGTTCAACTGGTGTCAGTGTTTTTGTTCTTTATCTCCTGCTGTGGGTAGTTTTGTTCTCTTTCACCCTGTCCCACTGGGAAAAGTATAACACGGGAATTCTTTTCCTGCCGTGGGGATATGACCTTAGCCAGGTGGTAAGTATGTGTTCTGTGTTAAATTGTGATAGTTTTGGAAAGTTTATGTCACTCCTTCTTGGTCTCTTTGGTTACCACTGACATGTGCTTTTCAAACAAATAAGCAAAAAATTTTTAAAAAATTTTATGCGTTCCTAGAAAGTTTCAAACATATAAAAATGGCTTGTGGTAAATAAATTTATGTCTACAGACATAAATTTATAGAAAAATTCTATAAATAGATAGAAAAATTCTCTGATGAACCCTGCTTACTGACCTTAAGGCAGTGGGCAGCATGTGGCCAGTCTGGTGTCACAGCCACACTCCCTCACCCTTTCTAGTCCTTTTAAAGGAAATGTGATAAATATTTTGCTGCATCTCTCTCAGCGAAAGGGGCTTCTCTTAAAAACACTGGGCGTGGGGCTACACGCCTATAGTACTAGCACTTGGGAGCTGATGTAGGAGGGTCGCTGTTTGAGGCCAGCCTGGGCAACATAAGCAAGTTCAAGGCCAGCCTGCACCTCACAGCAAGACCGTGTCTTACAAAACAAAACAAAACAAAACAGAACAAACTACCCCCAAACATGTAATCAAAATGTCATTATTACACCAAAATTTAACAATTTGCTAATGTTATTAAAAGATTCATTGATTTGAACTGTGAGTTTTGTTTAAAAAGATTAGTCACATATATAATGACATTGTTGGGTTTGGTCTTCGTTGCCAAATTTCAGTGAGTAGAAAGCTTTCTCCTACATTAGCAGGCTTGCTGTGCGCTGGTGTTGCGTGTGCCCATGTGTGCCCTGCTCTCAGCGGCAGTGTGCGTGCTGAAGGAGGGTGTTGGGTGGCCAAACTGGATCAGCGTCTGACTTAACCGGTGTATGCAGCACCTTGTAAGTGCTCCAAAGAATAGCCAGTAGTGGTCAATACGAGTCAGTTACTTTATAGCATTGTTGACCAAAAAAGGCCAGGCCTGCCACATACTACACGTGAGGAAGACCTCTTGTGTTTACTAAACTGTTGGACTGCCCGTAATGTTGTGTGAAGCTCTGCTGGCTCCTGGTCTCTCCAGCTATTAACGCCTCCGTGTGCTTTTGTCTGTGTTTTCCTTCCAGACTCTTTCTTTTGTCTACATAGTGACTGCGGTTGTGGGAGTTGAGGCCTGGTATGAACCTTTCCTGTTTAATTTCTTATATAGAGACCTATTCACTGCAATGATTATTGGTAAGAAGCTCCGTGTCAAAGCCTGTTTTAACCGTCACTTATTATCAAAGCCCGTGTTTGACTATAACAAGTGAACAGCACTGCTGTCCCTGCCTTCTGGCAAGCAGAATAATCCTACAACTATATAAGATTTCAACCTAAGCATTAAAGGAAATGAAGTTTCTTTGCTTTGATTTTTTTGTGTAGCATCAAGCTTTTTCTAATCAGAAATACCAAAATGGGTCACACTGGCCGTGGAAAGGAACGGTTTCACTTAGTCTATATTGGAATATTGGAAATCCACATTTAGATGGGCAGTTGTACTGGTGTAACATGGGAACGTGTTAGTGAGGTGTGAGCGTTGTGTGAAGTAGAGATGCAGAGATGGGTGTGACCACTCAAAAGTTAAGCCTCTTCCCCCCTCGGACGCTGCCCCCTTCCACTCAGTGTAAATGTTCTTTATAGGCTGCTGTTTCCTTTGATTTTAGTTAAGGTGGGTGTCTGTGGGGTCACTGAGTGTAGCACAGGGTCAGAGGTTTGGAAAGAGGTACAGAAAAAGAGGAATTTAGTTTACTGGTTTGTGGGTACCAGAGTAACACCATAAGGACTTTGTAGAGTAAACACACGTGTAGGCTGCTGCAGTATTGCCTGCCTAAGAAGAGCCCCGTCTCTGTCTGGCGGTGAGCCTGGTGATGCAGTGGGGTTAGCCTTGGAAACTGTGGAAAGCTGTAGAGGCACACACAGTGCCTGCGTTCTGGAAGGCTGAAGGTCTGTGTCCTGGCTTTCAGAGAAGGGGTGCTTTGGGCCTTTTCCTGTGAGTCAGGACTGTGCATTTTAGAAACTACCCTGTCATATACCCTGTGAAAGCTCATTTTTTTGGTATCTGTGTAAACTTAGTTCTTCACCTTGAAAAGATTATTTTTTTCCACTACCGTATAGTGGATCTTGATTTTAATAGCTTGTCCTATGGTAGACTTGCTACAGTTTACACTCATTTGTTAAAGGTAAAATGTAAAAATATATCTGCTACGCAAGCATGTTTTTGAATGTTAATCATACTCTTTAATAAGATGCATAATTTTCTTCGTGGCTTACACATTCATTCCAGTTCTCACCTCCAAAATAAATCAGAAACAAACCCACTCGTTTCTATATGAAGAAACGAAGCAGCCTGCCCGGTGCCGTATCCAGGCAGGGTGGCCCTGGGGTGGCCGGGAGGGCCTCGGAGCCTGTGACTGGGCCCCTGCTGCTGATGCTCTGCTGCCTGGTGGGCGGGGCCCTCCCGGGAGGGCAGGCGGAAGAGTGGGGCTGCAGTCTGGATGGAACAGGCAGGCTGCCGGGGTAGAAAGCAGGGTTCAGTCTCTCGTCCCCTTCTTTTTGTCAGGAAAAGTAATTGAACACCTGCAATATTTGTGGTGCTTGTGCTTTTACGGACTAGATCGCTGTGTATCAGCGTTTGGTTCCACAGTTCTCGCTGCCACTGCGGTCTTGTTCCAAGCCGCTCTCCCCTCTGATCTCTGGGTTACCTTGTCATGCACAACCTGTTGTACTTCATTCCTTTCTGTATGTCTGACTTAGTGTTTGGTGTTTTTCCCCAGAAGTTTGAGGGGATTTTTTAGGATGGTAGATTCTTCGTATGTATGTGGGAGACATCTCTTGATTCTGCCTTTCCCCCACCTTTTGAATGTGTCCCTCTGTGTGACATCCGTGGCTTCTGAATCGGCTCATGTCCTTGTTACCTGTATAGAAAGTATTCTATTCTGCTTTCAGGATTCTCCTTTTGAAGTCTTTGGCCCCCAGAAATATGGCCATGGTGTGTTCAGGCTGAGCACGTTGGTGTGTTGAAGCTGTAAGTTAGCTTTTTTGACCACATGTGGGACATTTTCAGCCACATTTATTTTTTCAGATCTGCCATGGCTCTTTTACTCTGTTTTCCCCCTAGGACCTCTTATATATATGTTAAATTTACTTGTTGTGTCCTGGGGGTAATTTTCTGAGGCTTTATTAAGGTTTCCTTTACTCTTTTTTTTCCTGTACTTGGGTTCGAACTCACGACCTTATGCTTGCCAGGCAGGCGCTTATGCCACTGAGCTAAATCCCCAGCAACTCTTATTTTTAATTTATTCTTTGTGTTAGATGATTTCTGTTCGTGTGTCTTTGAGTGCACTGGTCCATCGCTTGCTGTCTTCTGCCATGGGCAGTGTGGTGCTGAGCCTGTCTGCTAAAACTGTCAGTTAGGTTTCCTGCTTCTCAGCTCTTCTAATTCCCACGTAGTTCTGCTTTTATTTCCCTTTTCTGTGGTCACAGTCTCCACTCATTACCACCGTATTTTCCTTTAGTGCTTCGAATCTGTTGGAAATTCCTGCTTTTTAGTCTGTCGGATCCAGCAGTGTCCAATGGTTGCTGTCCCCTCCTGTTTTTTATGTATCTAGCAATTTTGTTGTTGTTGAAATACACATTGTCACTGCATGCTGGGGTGCAGCTCAGTGGCAGGGTGCTTGCCTAGCGCGTGTGAGGCCCAAGGTGCGATCCCCAACACCTTGCGAAAGAGACAGTTGTCAAAGAAAATATTTATACAGACTGTAGAATCTCTTCTGTACTTCTGAAAAAAATTTTTTTTTTGGTTCTAATAGGCATTTAACTTCTTTGAATTCAGACTAAGAAGTCTGTCACCTCGCAGTGTATAGCAGCTGATACATGTAATTACTTTCAGCTTTCAGGCCCCCCAGCCCGTCCCTGTTTCCTCCCGCCACACACACACTCTCTGGCACTAGAGATCGAGCTCACCCATGTGTGAGGGAAGTGCTCTACCCCTGCGCTACATCGCCAGCCCCTTTTATTTTTTGTGCTGAGACACAGTTTTGCTGATTTTCCAGACTGGCCCCAAACTTGCTACCCCCGGCTTGGCTTCCTGAGCAGCTAGGATTGTTAGCGTGCCCTGCTGTGCCTGGCCGGCTGCCGTTTCTAGGCTGGCTTCTGTGTTTCTGTAGTCTAGCCATCAGCCAAAGAGGCGGAGTTGATCCTGAGATTTTGGTGTTCACCTGTCTGCTTTTCTTGCTTCTGGGTTCCTGTCCTGAATCCTGGCTGGTCTGCCAGCCGCTGTGTTCTGTCCTCCGATGTTTCAGCAAGCAAAGGTGCTTCCTCTTCGGACCCCACTGAGTCTTGGGCTTAGTGACACGAAGGGCACGGCAAGCTGGGGCGTAGCTGTGTGGCAGAGCGCGTGCCTGGCGTGTGTCTTCCCTGGGTTTCCTCCCCGGCCAGAGCGAGAGGGCTCCGCAGACCACAGGTCTCACTGACTGCCTCTGTCTTTCAGAGGAGAGCATCTCCTCTCATTTCCACCGATTTCATTGTGTTCTTCAGGTCTCCTATTTGCTTACTTAGTTTAGCAGTCCGCCATGGGTTGGGGCAAAGTTGATACTCAGATTGTATCAGCCCTTTTGCATCTCTTTAAAATGACCTCTGTCCCCATTTGCAGTACCTTTGTTGCTCTAAATTCCAATGATCTGTCTCCAAAAGCTGGTAAGGAAGGCTGAGGTTTTCCACTACCTGAAGTATAAGACGGACAGGCCTCCAAAGCAGTTCCTTAGTGATCCCAGGATGGATCCTTCTCAGGTTCTGCCTGCTTTTGATTTTTCTAGTATGCTCAAGTCGTCATTTTTAATATCTTTGTCTAGTTTTTAGTAATTATTTGTAAGAATTCCCCTGCTTCTTTGTGCCACCATCAACAGACATCCTTTTCCCTTTAAATTATTTAAAAGCAAATTTCAGATATCATTTCATCCCTAAATACCTCTGGAGTATCGCTAAATGATAGTTTTTTGTGGTGATAGGGATTTAACCCAGGGCCTCACCTGTGATAGGCAGGTGCTGTTCCACTGAGCTCCAGTACTAGAACTGGATTTGTTTTAAAAACACATTTGCAATACTGTTATACTGTTAATGGGTTTCGAGGTGCTGGAGTCTTTTTTCTGGAGGTGGTTTCTAGCTTCTTTCTTTTTTGAGCAAAGAATTGAATAAAATAAGCAAAAATGGTGGCAAGGTTTCACTTGATTTGAGGTAGGAAAAGTTAAAAGTGAAGGGTAAGGGAGAAACTGGCTCTGCAGAGCAAGGGCAGGGTGAGCAAAATAAAGAGTAATAGGAGAAAATTAAATTAGAGAATATGCGGCAGGCTCTCGTGAAGAAAGCCACTGTCGGCAGTGTGTGTGCTCATTCCATACATCGTGAGTTTGTGTCTAGAGCCCACGTCCTGGGGCTTTGGCCCTGCTCTGCACATGTGTGTGGCGTTTTGTACTTAACAGGTCACACTTATTCCTGCAGCTGCCTTGCTGTGCCCTGTCTTTCTTAATGCCGAAGGAACTAATAAGAGTTATATTATCATATATGTAGACAGTGTTCGGATTTCTGTAATTCTCTCAGATGTCTGTTATGAGTGGTTTATTTTGTATAGCCACCAAGTAGGATCTATACATTGCCTTTGATTGGTACATTGTTTAAATCTCTTTTGGTACATAACATTTTCCTTTTTGGCCTTGTAATTTCTTAGTTGAAGAACCTCGGTCATTTGTGGCATTCTTACATTCTGCGTTTTCCTGGTTGAATGCTTGTTACTTTGTTTAACATTTTCTGCCCCTCACTTTCCTGTAAGATAGTAATCACAGCCATGGACGTGGCTGGACACAGGTTTCTCTGGGGGTGTGGCGGGGACAGTGGCTTGTTCGGTCGTGGTAGTTGCAGCGGCGTCCATCAGGAGGCACGCAGGACCCGCTGTCTCTGAGGTCATGGCGTCAGAAGGTTCGGGTATGGTGGACCTGTTAGAGCTGGTGTCTGTTCTTCACCTTCCCGGCCGTATTCAGTCAGCGGTGATCGTGGCTTCGTGCTCTGTTGCGTGGATAGCTGGAGGACTCGTTTGGTGGTTAGTCGTGTGGGAAATTTCCAAATAAAATTTGATCCTGCAGATTTTTGCTTACTCTCTTCCATGTTACGTTTAGTATCTCCTTTTAAACTGTGACAAAAATCTTGGTGTTCAGTCACACAAAATAATTACTCTTTGCTTCATCCTTCGAAGCACCCACAGCAGTCCCAGAATATTGTACCAAATCAGCAAAAATAGGATTAAAACTAGTGTGAGGCTTTGGCTTCCTCAGTGTTATTTGCCCTTACAGTTATCCCACTAGAGATGTCCAGGCAGGTTATTTAAATTCTTGAGATTTTGTCCTAAGTTGTGAATATGTCCATAATTCTTTATTTTTATTAGGTTTATCCTGTGGGGTTGGTACATAACTTACACATCTTCATTTTTTTTATCCCCTGTCCCTCCCATCCGTCCCTGCTTCTTCTGACTCTTGGCCCCTTCTCAGGTAGAATTTTTGACATACAATTTTTTTTTAAGTAATTGTGCGAAATACGAGTAATGTCGAATTTCTAAGGCCGTGTAGTCAAAGACGCGTGACTTCTATCCCTGCTCCTCCTCCTTTTTCATAGGCAGCCAGTTTTACTTCATCATTTTATGGCTTGTCTTTTCACTCTTTAATTGTAAGTAGTGAACGTTGTCACCCTTTGTCATGATAATGACGGCGTTCTGTGTGTAGTTCCCTTGCTGATGCCCCTGCCTAGTGTATCAGAGTGCTCATTGCACAGTGCTGCAAGCGGGTCTTCCTCATCCGCCTTCCACCTGCTGGCCGCTGATTGTGTGGACGGCGGGGACCGCCTACGACAGCTTGTGAACCGGCCCTCTATTCATAGGCGTCTGGATTCTTTCCAGTCTGCTGTTGTACAGATTGCTACAGTGAAGAGTCCTGCACAGATGTCTTTTCATATTTTTTCCAGGGTATTGTGGAAGAGGTTCCTAGAAGCAGAATTGCTAGTTAAGGATAAATGCAGGCAGCATTGCTGGACATCCCTGTAACCCCCTGCGGAGCTGTAGGACTCTGAATTTCTACCAGACACCTGCAAAGCGCTTGTGTGCTTAGTTTCATCAGCATAGTGTTCTCTGTTCAGCTTTTGTGTTGAGGGTTTCAATTGAAGTTTCTGTTTAATAAGGTAGAAATATGAGGAACCAGAATATTTTTATGACTGCCTTAACTTCAGATGGTAACTCATTGCACTTTGATCCTTTAAAAAAGTGGCTTTTTTTTTAACTTAAGTTTTTTTTTTAATATAGTGAAGTTTGGGCTTTTAATTAATGGCAGTTTGAAAAATAAGCATATACATTGCCATGTGTACATATATATTCTATAACATATTCTTAAATGTTGAGTTTAATAGATAAATATTTAAATTAACAAATACTCTTTACAGAAAGTACACGAAGTACTATTTAGAGAAGAAATAGAAGATGCAGTCTTTTTTCTTTGGCATACTGTAGAGAGCCCAGGTTCTCTAGAGGCAGGAGGATTATAAATTTAGGGCCAGCTAGGCAACTTAATAAAACTCTTTCTAAAATAAAAAGGAGTTGTAGCTCAGTGGTAAAGCGCTTACTTAGTATGCTGTGAGGCCCTAGATTGGATTCCCAGGACCTCAAAAAAAAAATTTTTTTTTTTGTTTTTTAAAAAGACTTTTTAAACTAGAAGTAATCTTGGTAGCAAATTATCTGCTAGTTTGTCCCAGCTTGCTTCTGACACCTGAGAGCCTCAAGAAATGCTGGGTTAATTCATTTAGCCTTGGCTCCCCTTCAGTGCATCTCAGCTTACCATAGTGTAAATTGCTAAAATTCGGGGCTATTAAGCATAGTATAGTCTTCTTTCTAAGGTAATCTAATTTGACAAACTATTTCAGTTGGGCTTGGAAGTAACCAAGTAATTCATCTTTTGAGAAAAGATTTCTGCTGGATTCTAGTCTTTTTTGAAAAACTGTTCTTAGCCAACTGTTTTAGGAATCGTTTTAAAGCAATGTTTTTTACCTTTGATCTTTATGATTATATAGTTACGTTGACTTTCAAACCAATAAAGTCACCAGGAAAGAGTCTGGAATAGACAGATTGTGCCATGACTGAAGCATACAAATGAAATGTTCAGAAACTTGTGAGATGCCTTGCTTTATAGTTTATAGAAAAAGAATGAGGGAATTAGCATCTCTGTAGATCATGGAATCAGAGATTCTGTACTGGTGATTGAACCCAAGTCTTTGCACTGAGCTCCAGCCCCAGCCCCACCCCGTATCCTGACATCTTTTAATTTTGAGTTAGGTCTCACTAAATAAATTGCCCAGGCTGGGCTCAGACTTTTGATCCTCCTGCTTCAGCCTCTGAGAGTGCCGGGATTACAGGTGTGTGTCACCGCACTCAGCTAGATTTTTTAAAATGTAAGGGATACTAAGAGGTCAAATTGTCAAGAAAGGGCACAGAACTATGGTTAGAGGCCTAGCAGGCACTTTGGGAGGATGGAATTACAACAGCAGAGAAGGAGAGAACTGCAGATAGCAGCTAATCAAACAGGAATCATGTAGGAGTCAGAAACGAGAAAGGGTATTGGACTTGATCATTCGGGAAACTTGGTAAGTTTCAGGAATGTAATTTCTACAGGTTACGGGGCAGAAAGAAAGAAAGCTAAGTTAAAACAAATAAATGGAGTAAGACCGGAGAGAAGGCAGCAGAACAGTGATGAGGTTCTTGGGAAGACCATCCGTATAGGTAGGATAGAGGGGGGAGGTTGGGAATTCCTAGGGAGGCCAAAAATTAGCATAAACAGGAAGCACAGGTTGCATCTGTAGGAGCTTTTGCTTTTTTTTCAATTTATTGTATAGCAGGTGGTATTCCAGGTGTCTTCACATGTAGTGATTTAGTCAGCTCTCAGAACCCCATGGGCTCGGTACTGCCTGTCTCTCTGTTTTGTAAATGAGGAAACTGAAGCACTGAAAGGTTGGTTTGCCTAGAACCACATGACCAGGGGCTGGGGATTTAGCTCAGCGGCATAAGCACCTGCCTTCAAGCAGGCGGTCGTGAGTTCGATCCCCGGTACCGATAAAAATGAAAAAGACAAAAAAACAAAAAACCACATGACCAGTCTATGGTGCAAATAAAATTGAGGTCCAGACTGTCTCCCCGAGCCTCAGCTGTGGTGGTCACACTGCCCCTCTTACAGTTGTGATGCTGTTTAGGAATGTGTTCAGTTTTATTACAGAAATAAGGGTGAAGATGAGAATTACAGGGTTTAAAGATGATGAGTGTTTTGTGTGGATTTGTTATAAGGTAAGCATCTGACTGCTTCATGGTAATTTATTCTCTCCTTTAGGTTGTGCAGTATGTGTGACTCTTCCAATGAGCTTCTTAAATTTTTACAGGTAAGTGCTTTGTGTTTTTAATTGGGCAAGAAATATGAACATTGTTAGCAATGGTTATTTAACTGAGTTTATAGATCTGTTCTCCTTTTGGCAGCTGGGCATTTTGAAAAGGTCTTAAAGCTGGTGTTTTGAATCTAAAGTGAGTTTAGGATAATTTAGAGGACTTGTGATGGCTCATGTAGTCAGTTCAGCCATACCCGAGGCAGATAGGCCTCTTGTTACAGTTTTGGGCTTACCAGTTCTAATTCCTCACTCTTCTAAGGAGGCCGTATTTTCCTGCTGAGTCCTGGTGTTTCCATTCTGTTCTACAAATTGATTGTATGTAGTTGACAAGAGCATAAAACTTCTGAATGCCTGCAGGTTAGGACCACAGTGCCTTTGCTGACTTTTGTGAGATAGGTGTGTAGCATTCCTGTCTTGGGGGGGACGTGTCCCCACTTTGCTCACCTGCCGCTGAGCTAATTTATTATTTCGGTATCCTGCGTGGACTTTCCCCTTCTTAGTTTAATAATTCGGCTGGCTGTTTTCTCCGCTAGCGTGCCTTCCAGTTGAAACACTTTTCTTGTACTTCCCGCTTATCCGTGAGCTCAGATCTGTCTCGGAGAACCTCACCCCGGCAGCCTGCTCTGGGAATCTGCCATCTTTTCGAGCTGAGAGTCATTTAGAGAGGCTCAAAGCTCTGGAGGCTGTAAACATTGAGTCATTTCCTCTTTATCTTATAATTGTGAGGCTTTAGTTGGGCAGCATATCGAGACTCTTTGCAGATGAACAAAGGTATGAGAATACTTTGTTTTTCCCCCTGGAAATCACAGAAATTAGATTTACTTGATAACTTTAAAATGACACTTTCAAGGGGCTGGAGGTTTAGCTCAGCGGCATAAGCACCTGCCTTGCAAGCAGGCAGTCGTGAGTTCGATCCCTGGTACCGATAAAAAATAAAAAGACAAAAATAAATTTTTTTTAAAAAGACACTTTCAAATGTGCTTAAACAGCAAAAAACTGAAACAAATCATGACAGCAATGTCTGAACCAAATGTGAGTATCCCGGCTGGGGGTTTAATGCAGGGCACAGCACCTGCCTGGCAAGTGTGAGGTCCTGAGTTTGGTTGCCGGTACCCGAGTGTGCATCCCTTGAAGAGAAAGAAACCGTAGAAGAACCAAATCAAACAGAAATAAGAGAACATCGTGCTAAGTACAATAAGCCAGGACAAAAGGACAAACGGTGTGTGGTTCCATCTGTATGAAGTGCCTGGAACAGACAAATTCATAGAGCTAAGAAGGGGGCTAGCGGGGGTAACTGGTTTGAGACAGAGATGTATGGAGAGTTATTGTTTATAAATATAAATCACGTCCTCTCTGGTTTCTTGGTCATTCCCTAGTCACAGACTTAGATATCTTCTTTGCTCCACTTGTTTGTTCAGTAAAATATATGAGTTACAAACTTAACTGCAGTTCATGACTCGGTGGTATTGAGTACATTCACAGTGTCGGGTCGCCATCACCGCCGTTTCCAGAACTTTTCAGCACTTAAAACAGGAAACAGGATCGCTTCTTGTGTACTTAGAGACACCAGGGTGTGCTATTGGCAGCCTCCCTTCAGTCTCTCGTGGTACATCTTACTCTAAGTTCTGCATCACTGTTTTTTTAATCAAAGTGGAAGCATGAGGTACAGGTTGCTGGGTTTTGCTGTTCTTCATGACGAAGGCCTCACTGTAGTTTAGGCTGGCTTTGAACTTAGTTAGGTCTAAGCTGGCCTCGAACTCACGGCACTGCCCTGCCTCAGCCTCCCGAGTGCTGGGATTACAGGTGTGCGCCACCACACCTGGCCTGCTTCGCTTGTGAAAGCAAAGGTTATTTTCTCTCCCAGCCTTGGAGGTTTCAAGGCCTGAGCGCTTGGCCCCGTGGCCTCTGAGTCTGTGGTACAGGGAGCTGAGGTAGCGTGCAGAAGCTCACTGCATGGCTGGGCTGCAACAAGGAGAGGGAGGAAGGAGCCGGGTCCCAGGTCCTCCTGGGGAGGAGCTGTCCTGATGACCGGGGCCTGCAGCGAGTCCCACCTCTGAAAGGTCCCCTGACTCCAAGCCCTTCGGCAGCTGCAGACCGAACCTCAGCCCGCGGCAGAGGGAGGATGTTTCGTGTTTGTTTTGTTTCTCCTCCTGGGACATTTCATAGTGCAAAAGCATAGTTGTATTTATTTATTTAGGCCCTAGAGACTGAAAGCAGGGTCTTTGGACTGAGCTGTATCTTCAGCCCCTTTGGTTTTCATGGACAAAGCCTCGCTGAGTCCCTCAGTCGTCCAGGCTGACCTTGAATTTGTGAGTGCTGGGATTCCAGAGCGTGCCACTGTGCCTGCCGTAGCGTCACCCAACAGTTGGCAGTTTGGTGTAAAGAGAACGCGTGGGCGGAGGTCAGGAGTTTTCAGTTCTAACCCTGGTTCTGACTCGGTGGCAGGTCATGCAGTTGAGAATCCTTCATCTTCCCTTGTCTTCCCTGTAAAGTGGGTTAGCACTGTTGATTCTGCCGGGCACGGTGGCACAGCCGTGTACTCCCAGGACTTGGTAGGCTGACAAAGGGTTGCTGGGAGTCTGAGGCCAGCTTGGAATACACAGTAAGACACTGCCTCAAAAGCAAACACACAAAAAGATGTTACTGGTTCTGTCTATGCCGTAGGATTACTGTAAGTATCAGCAAATGTACAAGTAGTTTGGAAATGACAAACTACAAGTGTTACGTGTAATAATGGTTTTGTATTGCTTGATTCTTTTTTTCAGAAGCTATAAAAATAACACCCTGAAACACAGTTCAGTCTATGAAGTTATGGTTCCCCTCTTTTCTCCATGTTTGCTCTTCATTTTGTCTACAGCCTGGATCCTCTGGTCACCTTCAGATATTTTAGAGATACATCCTAGAATATTCTACTTTATGGTTGGAACAGCCTTTTCCAATATCACAGTAAGTTTTTTTCTTTAAAACAATCATCTATATTAGGGATATATGGCAGTTGGATAATTTGAGAATTCTTAAAGTACTAGAATAAGGAGGCTTGAAGGAGTTTTATATCACAAATTTGAAAGAAAATTTAATAACCTCAAAGGCAGAACATACTGAGACTTTTTTTTTTTTTTTTTTTTTTTTTGTCTTTTTCCTTTTTATCGGTACCGGGGATCGAACTCACGACTCCCTGCTTGCAAGGCAGGCGCTTATGCCGCTGAGCTAAATCCCCAGCCCCGAGACTTATTTTTATTAACTTTTATTTTTGTGGTTGTGGGAATTGAACCCTGGTCCTCTAGACACAGAAAAGTACAACTGAGCTACCCTCCCAGCCACATGAGAATTACTTCATTTTGTCCTCTGAAACCAGCCTGCTGTGAAGAAACTGTGCATTCTTAAATATGCCTGGTGACCTGAGGAGGAAGTCATGGATAGTTTAGCTTTGCCTCTGAATAATACTGTTAACGGTGTGCTTAGGATGACTGTGGACCTAATGATTTCCTCGGGGAACCTTGATTGTGGTACTGGGGACTGAATCCAGGGCCTCAGGCATACCTGTCACTGCTAAATTGGCCAGACCAGTCTCAGCCTGGAACCTTCCTGCCACAGCCTCCAGAATAGTGGGGATAGCTGGCATGTGCTGTCGTGTCCAACTTGAAAGGGATATTAGAGAAAAACATAGCCTCTGGATTTAGGGTTAATAATATGGAGTAGAAGCTTTGTAATAAATACAACTCTCCTTGTCTAAGTAGTGTAGGCTGTCCGTGATTCTCCTGCTTGGTCTTCTGAGGGCTGGGATTACAGGCATGTGCCACCATGCTCAGCTCAAATATATTTTTAAAAAATTAATTTCTGTGCTGTTGCCAGCAAAAGAGAGCCCAGGAAGGAGAGATCAAGAGTTGAGAAAGGACCTGGTTATCTTGAGGGTCAGAAGCCTGTGCTCTTCATTAGATCAGATTCTTAGAAGCTTTTGACTTGTAACTTAGTACCTGAGTCCGTTTTCATTCTTTAATGCATTTAATATTCTAATTCCTACTGATTCTGCCTGTTTAAAAGGTGGAAAATCCTGCTGGGGAATGCGGCTCAGTGGTAGAATGCTTATTACCTAGACTATGTGACTCCCTAGATTCAATCTGAATCCTTCAAAAAGGAACGAATACAGATCCGAAAGCCTCAGCGCCTGGTATTAAAGTTACCCCGGAAGGAGTAAAAGCGTAGCTGAGTGAAGTACGGGAAATAGAGGGCGCTGGAGAGATGCTGAGTGTCAGTTATGGGCGCGGTACCGTGCTGGCAGAAGCATCCTCTGCATGCCTGTGAGGAAATTTAGTTTTGTGGAAATAGAGGAGGTTATTTTGAATTTTTGTCACGTTTCATAGAATCTTAACATTGGGAGAAAGTTCTTTGTATCTAACCTGTCGTGACCCAGTGGAAGAATGCCTCCTGTCGCATCCTTACTGAATTACCCTCTAGTCTCTTCAGACACATTCACAGGGCAGGGAGGTGGGGTCCCTGGTCCAGCTGAGAGCCACTGAGCTCAGGTGATGTAACATGCTGGCTTGAGGGCTTGAATATTTTCTAAATGGTGGAGTGATTGGTTTTGGAAGTGCTTTGCTAATTCACCTTTTTTCTTTCTTTTTTAAACCTAGTGTCAGTTGATTGTTTGTCAGATGAGCAGCACAAGGTGCCCAGCTTTGAACTGGTTGCTGGTTCCTCTCTTCCTGGTTGTCATGGCAGTGAGTTTAGGAGGAGCCTCCTACCTTGAGAGTGTTCTTCTGTACACGCTAACCGCTGCCTTCACCCTGGCCCACGTGCACTATGGGGTATGCGTGGTGAGTAAGCTCGAACCCAACTGGTGCCGTTTGTTTTTTACAAGTGGAAAGGAGGTAATAGATTACAAAAGGAAGTTATTTAGTTGTAATAACTAGGAGAATTTTGGGATGGTTTTCTAATGATTACGTTATAGTAACAAGTGATGCTAAAGATAATTATTATGGGGACTTAAGGACCACGGATTTAGCTCAGTGGCAAAAGTGCCTGCCTGGCAAGCGCAAGGTCATGAGTTTGATTCCTGGTACTCCCCCCAAAAAAATTATTATGGGGAGTTAGTGCTTATTTTAAGTGGGTTTTAAGTTAATTATTGATTGGATTGTAAATAGTTTTTAATTATGTGGGAATGGATAATCTTATTTATTATCTAATTCTTCTCTTCAGCTATAGGGATAGTTTTATTGTCTATTAACTTTATAAAGAAATTGGTTTTGTATCCCTTCTTTCCTTTCCTGCTCAACTTTTTGAGCAACGTAGTGAGGGAGGTTAGGGTTTCAGATTAAAGGAAGGCTTTATATTATGTGGGATTTTGCTTCTCTGTCAACAGAAACTGCAACTTTTGATCAGAAGGTGACACTCGGTAGGCCATGCAAACTTTCCCTTGAACATAAACAACAATCCGTATCAAGTGACAGCTCCTGCCTGGCACATAGCTGAGCCCTTGGCTCCCCGGTGGAGAGAGCTCACCGTCCGTCTTCTCCACACTCACAGATCTGGTTCTGAGCTATCACGTTAGCATCGGGAATGGTGGCTTAGAACTATTTCAACAAGCTGAATATTGACCCTAACTTATAACTCTAACAGTTGGGTATTATGTCAGGTTTCCAGGAGATTTGGATATAAATTGTTTTGGCCTACCGGACTCTGGATAGATTAGGTTTTAGAGTTAGGCAGACAGAGTAGTTCTAGGAGTCCCATTCAACTAGTTGTCTAGCTCTCTAGCGGTTCTAATCCAGCACACCTGGTCATTATTTTGGGTAATTTTTGCTGTGTCAGTACAATTGTTTCCAGAGAGTAAATGCTTTATGCTTTAAAAAATAAGGTACATGTTTGTCACTGTGTCGTGTTCTGGTTTTCCATAGGTTAAGCAGCTGAGTAGCCATTTTCAGATTTACCCGTTCTCATTGAGGAAACCAAACTCAGATTGACTAGGAACGGAAGAAAAGAATATTGGCCTGTAATCTTCAGGAAGACGTACTGTAAATATATGCTTGTAAATATTTCATCCATCACCATTGAACTAATCCGACCCGTGTGACTGACATGGGTCTCGGGTATGAGGTACTTGGACACAGGAATGAAACATGGCTGGACTTTGGACCTTCTAACTCCCAACTTACTTAATCTCACTGTTTTTATAAAACCACGTGGCATTTTGGTTAAGCGTAATGTACATGAGACCAGCAAAGTGTTCCTGGTGATTTTAGCCCCATGAGTCCATAATGTGTTGGCTTACAGAATTAAACATGCTTTGTTTTCATTTTTAAAACCCCCACATTGTTTTAGAAATGCTGATAACATTCAGAGAAATTACAATTTGTTTTCATATTTGATATTTTATAGCAGGTCTTTAGCCGTGGTAATTATCAGTCACCCAAATCTAGCATAGGAGACCATAGGAATAAGTCACCTTTCAACCGAAGATGCCAATGATTACCGAGCAATACACGATTGCCAAACCTCGGTTTCTCTTCCCCATGCAGACGCCCCTGTCCTCGCTTGGCAGGAGAGCTTCCCTAGTGACCTGGCTCTCTTCATTAAGGAGCAGATCTTGATGAATGGTTTGGTTTTCTTTTAAAGAGAAGTAGCGAATAGTTTCAGTCGGGGCTCCCCCTTTGGCACGGCCCACAGTTTGGCGTGGCCTTTTCTCCCTCAGCTGCAGGCTGCTGGGGTGTGAGGCCTGTGACCTGTGATGTCTGTGACAGCTCTCGTCTCGTGGTCACTTCTCGTGAGGCACGCAGGGAAAGCACCTTGTAAAAGGAAATTTCAGTTGGAGTTACTCATGAATTTCACTGTGACCAAAGTTAGTTTTCTGACCCAGTTTGTCCATCTGGCCTTCCCTGCTCTCTCGCTCTCCTTTTGGGGGAGTGAAGGCTGTGTGTTTTATTTCATGCAGGATAAAACAGAGACACGATCTCTCTTCCCCATCTTGTCTGCTTCCCACTTGAAGAAACCTTCCTGCCCGCCTTGCTCCTTAACATGAGTACCCACTCCTTCAAGTGGCTTAGAGTAACTTTGGAGGTTTACAGACAACACAGTCCTTTAACTTTATTGTAGTTGTTTGATAAATCACATCTTTTTATGAATGTGGGTATTTTCTTCTCTTTCTTTCTGATCTTGTTTTCACTTAGTTTGGTGGTGGTGAAGTTTACTTGCTGATTTTATTTTTCCAGTGAATGAAGTTTGTGCTTGAATGAAGAGTGTATCTTAAACCCTTTTTTTTTTGGACAGGTTGCACTTGGATAAAATAGGCACCACTGTGTTGATATGTAATTAAATTCTTAACCATTATTTATCTATGAATGTGACCATTGTTAAATATTATAGTGTATTCCTTTGCTGAATTTGTCTGCTGCTTTGTAAAAAATAACTGTCATTGATACTTCTTTTTTGTTTTTAATTTTTAAATTCTAATCATTGTTATCCAGGTTATTAGGAATGAACCAAGGAGCTAAGTCATCGTTCCGTACTCATTTTGAGAAATTATTTGTAAAGACTCGATTGTATTTGATGACTTTCTCAGAGACAGACATGAACACTGAAAGCAGTCGATGAATTGCAGAAAAGTGTGGTTATCAAGTTGCTGTCACCGAGGTCAGAGAACAAACCAATTAAGGGAAAATAACTGTTTTTGTGTACCTTGTTTTGTCATCTGGATCAAGTGTTAGTTTGGCATCGGGAAAAATTCTGTTTTTAAGGTTTCTCAGATAATCATTGTACTGTTTTACTCACCTTCTACACAAGAATGAGATAAAACCTGGTAAATATTTATAAAATGACAGATATGGACCACTGACTTTCTTCACATTGTACAGTGTAGTAAAAAAAAAAAAAAATACACTTTAATTCTGGCATAAGGGTCATGTCCTGTAATTCTGGGGCTTTTTTACTTCTGAATGTGTTTCTTTTCGTTGCATCAAATGTATCTGAAAGTTGTTCTGTGCCTGTATTTCGTGACATATTTCATTGTGGTGGTGGAGAATTATGCCACAATCAATTTTATTGGCACTGACAGATGAAAGAAAAGAGGCTGTCAGGAAGGGAGAGTGAAACCCGGCAGTTACCTGAGGAAGCTGTGGGTTCTTGCACTGCTGACGGTCCCCTAATTAGTCCGCCACCTGACTGTATTTTGGGCACCGCACTTTTTATATTCGTTACACAGCAACCCACGTGGACTCAGTCACCAGTAGCACTGTGCATTTCTGTCTTGCTAATGACTACACACTTTATAAAGTGCAGGAGCTCTTCTGAGCGTATGCATGGTATTTTGGGTTTGGTTTTGTTTTTCTGAGTCTTGCTATGTAGTTCAGGCTGGCCTTGAACTCCCCGTGTAACCCAGAGTGGCCTCAACCTTGAGATGATCCTCTTGCGCCAGCCTCCTGAGTGCTGGAATTGTAGGTGTACGCCACTCTGCCCAGCCTGTGCATGATATTTGAGGTGTGTCCACACCTCTGCCTTCTCCTCGGGGTCTTGTGGGGAGAAGGGCTGTGGCTGGGAGCATACGTGCGTGTGTTCTGTGCTTGCAGAGTCGAGTGCCTTAGCCAGGCTGGACGTTTGCATTGCTGCTCACCAAAGTTACACGGACCTTGAAGAAGTTTCTTTTCAGACCATGTTGTGGAAAGTGGCCTTCAGGCTTGTCAAAACAATAATTCCCCTGTGTTGGAGGAGGGGTGTGAGATAGAAAAATGTAAAAATTCCTGGACAGTGTTGCTACTGCTGCCTTTATGACCCTTTATAACATTTATGATCCAGCTGTAATGCATAGTTTGAAATTGCCACAACTTAAAAGTGTCCTTCGTCTGCAAATACTAAGAAATTAGTTTAAGGGGTTTTAGTTTTAAGGATAATAAAGTGGGTTACACATTTGAAAACTAAATGCTTTTCTGTGGCATTTAACATGATTAAAATATTTTTCATTCTAATTTTCAAGAAGAAAGTTCAATGCTGATTGTGGGCTAGGACATTAACACTACTACCAGTATGTCATTCATTCTTAAAAGAGGTGGTGGGAAGGGGAGTGTACATCTGGAGGACCAAAAGATGGCTGACGATGACCTGGAGCCTGTGCTTTTGGAGAATATACACAGGATCCTTGTAAAGGAAAGAAGGGCCCTCTTTTCTGTCCTGTGGATTTGAAAGTTCTATATGCATTTATCTTGCAAAAAACTAACTTATTTCGAAGTCAGCCAAATGTACCTTGCTTTCCACAGCTGACTTTGACCTATAGAGAATAAAAAGATTATCTGAAGATGTTTATATCAAACACTATTTTCCATTTCCATTTTTAACTAGAAGCCAGTTTATAATTCTTCATCATTCACCTGAGTTTGCGCTCCACTGGACACCACCTTGAATACACAGACCATCAGGGTTTGCTCTGTGACTTTTGGGGTCTTGCCACGTTCAGATACCCTTGACTGCCTTAGTTCCCTTGACTGGTTGAGGACTGGGAACAAAGTAAACCTAATGGGCTGAGACTTTTGTGTTTGTTTTGGGGACAAGATCTCAGTGTGTAGTTTAGGTTGGCCTTGAATGTACTGTGTAACTGGCCTTTCGGCCGTCCCCCCTCGGCCTCCAGTCCTGCTGCCTCCGCCTCTGAGTGCTGGGATTACAGGGCGTGGACCACTGTGCCTGGCCCACACTTTTGACTCTGATCCCCAAATAAGCCAAAAGCAGAAAAATCTGGTTATGTGGATGCCTGTATGCTGAGTGGCCTTATCTTGACCTTAGTTTGAACTTGATCCAGGAAACTTGTAAAGTCAGAATGTTATTTGTCCCATGAGGTGTCGTAAGGCTGCAGGCCCTTTCTTGAACACCCTGTGGGTGAATAACCTTACGAAGTGAGCTGCCGGGACTGCAGCCTTCCGGGAAGAATCTTAACTACTATGCTGTCTTTGAAGCACTTTGACATGTATGTTTAAAGCGACAGTCTTAATAGTAAAATGGTATTAATCACTGTGAAACTTGAAAGTGTGATGCTCTGGGTATTTTAGGAAGCTTGCATAAGTTTCTGAATTTCCTTTGTTAATTATGCAACCCATGTGATTTGTATATTTTAGTTTTCTGTCTTTGACCTGGTACAAGTAATTGGCATAATGGCAGGTTGTGCCAAGGACGGTGTATGGGAAGTCATGGTTGTCTCTCTTCAGAGAAAGTGGTGGTTACGTTTGCTTCTTCCTTGCGTGGCGCCAAGGGAACTGGATTTGTGGGCTGATTCATTTCCAGTGTTTATATGGTGCAAAATAAATGTAACTTTATTTTTTAAACTGCATGCTAGTTATACGCTTTTCTCATTAATCAAAAAATGTGAGAGATAGTAAGCTAGCTGGTTCCTGTCCTTAAGCAGGGATCTGCTTTTTATGCAGACGGCTCTAAGTGAGTTCATGTTTAGTGCAGCAGAGAAGTGTTGCTGTTGGAATTCCTCTCACAGGTGGCCTGCGCAGGGGCGAGGTGTGGCATTTGGTCTGGAAGACCCGGTTCCCAGGGTTGGAAAGCGTCACGTGAGCTGTCTTTAGGGTGCTTTAACAAGGGTTTGTCTCTCATTTGGGCACTGTGAAGAACTGTTCCGTCTTCCACGAGTGGTCACCTTGTCTTCCCTTCAGGGACTCGTTCTTAGAAAGCTGAGTCGGTGAGAGTGGTGCTGGTTTTCAGAGCACGCAGACTGGATGGTGGCAGTAGAGGACCGAAGGCTGCACTGTAAGTGGAGACAGCACCTGCCTCGGCAGCACTGTACTAATACTGAAGTCAGAGGCCATGTAGAAGGCCTGGGTGGGAGGCGGCCTCAGCGTGCTGGGGAGGCCTCTGTCTCCGGGGCCAGAGTCCTCTCGAGCAGTTTCTGTAGGTGACAGTTAAAATTAGAACTGATTGTGAGTTTCCATCCAACTGTCCACAATTCACCATGAATTCTAGATTGTGATTTTTTAAATGAACACTTTTTAATATCCAGAGAGTAAGCACTTGACCTGTAACGTGCTTAGATAACACTAGGTTTTACTACTAGGTTATAAAAATCTGATTTAATTTGCAAGATCTGTGCTGTATTATAATCTATTATGATTCAGTATCACACTTCAAGTATAATAACTGCTAATTGAGACTGCTTACAATATTAACATCTCTTTAGGGTTATTTTGTTTAAACAGCTTTATCTCATCAGCCCAACCATTTAAGAGACAAAGACCAGCTATGTGCAGTGCTTTACTCATTTCAGAGTAGCCCAAGAAAGCAGAATTTATTATTGAGCCCTATGTTGCAATTTTTTGAAAAAAGCAACGGCATTTCCTTTGGGGAAGGAGAAAGTAATGATTCATTAGCAAAGTGGAACCCCCAGCTGCCCACTTTCTCCATTTCCCTTCCCACCTAACACAGTAGATTAAACTCATGGCTCCTTGTAGAAGAGGAGAGCACTACTTTGCAGGGTAAAAGTGACGGAGACTTCACTGCACTGTAACTGAGACTGTAGCGGAAATCATGGCCAAGTCAGTTATTGAGGTGCAAGTCAGTTATTGGGGTGCTTAGCCGGGCGGCCCCGGTAAAGTGTTTATCTGAACAGAGAGAGCAGGTCCATTCCTTCTCAGGTCCTACGAGGCAGCTCCACTGGGCAGGTGGGAGGCGCTGGGTGCAAATAGAGTCTGTCTTAGAAAGTCGAAGAGGAGCATAGACCTTCTCTTCCCCTTCAGATAGTTTAATTGAACATATTAGTGATGGGTCTGTCTAAGGTTTGCTGTGTGTGTAGTAAACAATGTATTTCATCTGGTTCTGTGTGCTCTGTGTATATATACATGTCTAACGTGCACATTCTCTGCATACGTATGTATGATATCATGTATGTTCAGAATCTACTCTTGATTATCAATCAGCCAAATGAAAGCTCTTTTTAGACTGTTTATTGGCGTGAACTTAGTATGCATGTGGCCCATGACATGGAGGCCCCCGATCTAAAGCCACAGCCTGCCTTCCCTCCTGCTCATCTCAATCTGCTAAAAGCCCTTACACGTCACTTACCACTTCCTGTTAAACCCAGGACCCTGAGCCAAAAGACAGCTTCTCAGAACCATGGCTGCTTGCACCAAGGCTGGGGCCTCTGGGTCTGCATGATTATGGGCGCAGTTCTGGCCAGAGGGCAGCTGCGCCGGAGCAGTGGTGCCCAGGGCTGGAAGAGGGAGGCTCCCGCGCTTAGAGAAACTCAGCTTTGCAGCTTGCTTAAATTACTGTGCTGGAATGTGAAGTCTCAGATAACTTGATATGCAGTAATGGAGCACAACAGTGCGTTTCAATGTTACTTTTGCATTATCTGTATAACTGTTCCCTGCTGCTGGTTCGGATATCAAGACCTAATTGTTTCTTATCACTGGATTCTGGAAGCCTGGACCTTTCAACTGGATTTATGTTTATTTCTGCGGCTGTGAACCCCAAAAATAATGCAGTAGGTTTTAGTCTAAAGTTGTTTAATTCTTTTATTGATAAATATTTATTGTAATAAAAGTAAATGAGTAAATAATTTTTAAATCCTTTTAATTGTTTTCAGGTTGTCTTTGTTTTTCTTTGGTAGTGCCAAAGGAGAAAAGTAATGTCCAACACCTGTCTTAGAAGCATTGATTACTTTAAAGCAAAACAGTGAAAAATGGTCCTTTTGGAAGGGGGTTTGGTTTGGAAGGATCAGCCTGCTTCCTCTTGGGTGTTCTGTGATCCAGTGGCTGACTTCAGAAAACAGGATGAGACAGGTGGCATTTGTAGGCTGAGACAGGAGGATCACTGTGAGTTTGGGGCCAGCCTGGTCTGCATAAGCGAGTTCAAGGCCAGCCTGAACCTGCATAGTGAGACCCTGTCTCACAACAGCAGCAACAACAAAGCTGTTTGTAGTACTCTGATTCTGACCTCCCCAGGACCCGGAGTATATATATGAAGCATAGCTAAAATATGTGATCAACATTTAAACTTAAAAATTTATCACAGCAAAAGTAACTTTACCATTCACCCCACCTTAGAATACCCAGAATACTCTTTTAAGTACTCCTCTTTGCTTTGAACATACTTATTCTGCCATTGCTGGCAAAGTCATGTCTTTAAAATTTAACCATTTACAGTATTTTTAATCGTGTTTGTGTGTGTGTGTGTGTGTGTGTGTGTGTGTGTATCCCTTACAGTAACTGGTCACAGTTAAATCAGTGTGTAAGGTGGTGGTTTATTCCTCACAAACATTTTGCCATCGAAAGACTATTAACATATGGCACTAGGTTTCCAGGCTATTCTCCAAACTCCAAAATTCTAGACTTCGTTTTTAGAAACTGTTAGCTCACACTCAGTATACTTAAAATATATTACACTGTAGAACATATAAACTTAGACTATCTAAATCAGGAGTCTCAATTGTCTGACTTTGCTTTTAAGAAGAGTATTTTCCATTTTTTATGACAGAGTTTATTTCCCACCTGTAGCAGTAGGCCTTTAAATCTTCTTTCAGTGACAGATTTGCAGGTAAGGACGGACATGTCCCAGCTCTCAGCCCAGGCCAGCTCCCCGGCTGTGTGCTTCTGATTCCTCTGGGGCAGCCTGACTGTGGTGCCCACCCTTCCCTGCCCGCTTCCAGCAGGTAAACACTGTGTGCCCGTGCTTGAGTCTATCCAAACTCAGGCGCAGTGTCCCCAGTCTTATTTTTCTTTCTCCTCTCGTCTTTTTTGCTCTGCCCACAAATTTTTTTGAAAGAAAACTATGTATCTGTCTCTTCTTTTTCTTTTGGTTTTTATTCTGAGAGTTTAAGGGTGTAACAATGAGTGTTAAACTTTACAAGATTTGATCTGGAGAAAGTTGTCTTTTTTCTTTTTCTAAGCCTTAATTTTCTCATCTATAAAATAAAATTACTATTACAATTATGCCTTATGAGGACTGAATAAAAATAATGCATGTAGAGCATTTGTTTTAACACAGTGAGTGGCCTAAGGTTAATGCTTCGTTTCTTTTTCTTTTAAAGGGAGAGGTTTATTTGGCTTATGGTTCAGAGGAGTCAGTCCATGGTAGCTGACTCCAAGGTAGCAACCTCGTGGTTGATGCTCGGTTTCTAATACCTAGTTCTGTATTTATGTTTGACCTTTTTTTTTTTAAGCCAGAGAGGTAGAACTTCTGACTCTCCTGCTGTCTGTTTCTTCTTTTTTGAAAATAATGGTGAGACAGTTGCACAGATAAATAAAATGAGATTGCCATCTGAGATTCTAGTAACATTCCCACAAATTGGGAGACAGAGATAAACTAAGAAGTTACCTAAACGCTTGATGAATTTTCCAACATCCCCAAACACCAGTTATAAACTAATGGATGTAGAATTAAATGTGACTTGGGTGAAATCTAATCAATGTATTTTTTTTAAACCTAAGAGATGACCGGATAAGGTGCTGGTAGATGGCCAGCCTTAGCCTAGCAAAGGGAGTAATTACGGCTGATGCCTACAGACACACATACTTATCACTACTCAGGGATGGGAATGCCATACCCCAAGGACTCAAACCAAATGTTCTTTGTGGCAGGTTGTTCCCAGGGCTTCTGAACTCATCACAGTCAGCCCGTCTTGTCCAGGAGCCAGTTACAGTTTGATATCCTTGGCAGCTCCATCAAAAGGCATGGCCACTGCCCTTAGTGGTGGTTGTAATTTCTTTCTACAATTAATAAATTCCCTATACATACATAAATTTTTTTTTTCTGTGAGCTTGTTAGTGTAAGTTCTCAAAGCAGGTCTGCTTTTGGAGTATTGCATACCACTTGAGGAGTTGACCTGGGTGCCGTCGGTCATCATCAGGGTGACGGTTCCCTGCCTGTCTTCCTTAAATCCCTCAGCTGCGGCGGTCCTGTACTTGCCTGTCTCAGTCTGCTTGGGTCTAGTAGTTGCATTTTACAAAATGGAGCCGGCTGTGATGGCGCGTACCTGTAACCCTAGCCCTGGGAATCCCGGATCACAAGTTCAAGGCTAGTGTGGGCTGCATAATGAGAGACCATCTCAAAACAAAGGAAAAACCCATATAAGCAAAGTATTTTTTACTAAATCAAGATAATTTGTGTTAAGAATAGTGTGTGAAAATCAGCCATAATTCCAGGCCAAACCCCTGAGATGGGAATTAGCTTGGTCTTCCCCTTATTTTTCTTGTGTACCGTCTCTTTCAAATAAAACTGGAGTCATACCCTCTTGAACTGTATCTTCCCTTTTTCATGTAATATATCTTGGGTGTCTTCCTGGGTCAGGTTTATTTGTAAGTTGTATTTCATTCCACAAATGCCTTAAAATTGCCCTAGCGAGTTTTTAAATACAAGCAACCAAACATACAGTTATGTCTGTGTACATTTCTTTTAGCAAATGTTCGTTGGGCACTTAACCACATACAAGGTATTGTATACAATGTTCTGTGTACAGTACCGAGTAAAATTGAGGCAGTTCCAGCCCTGAAGAGCTGTAACCCCTGTCCATTATCTCCTGGGGTAATTCTAAGTGGAATTGCCCAGGCAGTGCACATTGCTAATCTCAACTGTTAATAGGTGGTAGGGGACAGTCCTGAAAGGTGCCTCTCCAGTGGTTTCTACAACCATTCATAATCAAAGCTGTCTGTGACGGCCAGTAAGGTCTCCCTGTTGGTCAGAAAATGGCATGAGAGAGCCAGCAAAAGAGGCCACCCTGTGGTTTTTATTGGGGCTTTGGGGTGAATGTAGGTGAGCTGCCAGCTCACTAGGTGGAAATCGGTCAGGAAGGAGCATCTGAGAGCAAAGTGTAGTGGTGGACACCTATAACCTTGGCAATCTGGGAGGCTGACCTGGGAGGATCATAATAAACTCAGCTCTCCTGGGCAACGTAGCAAATTAAACCCTGTCTCAAAATTTTTAAAAGGAGCGGGTCTATAACTCAGTCTGGAGATGGTTCAATCCCTGGTGCCTCCTCGCAAAAACCACTTAGACTCTTTAGTGCCACGGATTGAATCCTAGCAAGTGCTCTACCACTGAGCTACACCCCAGCCCCAAGACAAAAAATATCTGTCCCAGATGTGGAGAAGAAACCAGAGGCCAAAGCTGCCTGTAGTCAAAGGACAAAAACGAACTATGTTCCTTGTAAAGATGCCTGGAGCACCGATCTCTGGCTACTCACCGGGAACCCTTCAAGCATCTCAGTGGTACCTCTGTGCTTTCACCTCTGGACAGTAGCTGGTCCCACTGTCTTTCCCGTGGTGTCCACTCCCAGCACACACAGTACACACGTGCACACCTGCATCCCCTTACAGACGGTGGGAACACGGATCAGAGGCTGGCGCAGTTACGGTCAGAGCTGTGCCTGGCCCTCTGATTCTTTGACTTCTAGGAAGCTTCATGCTGAGATACAACCAAAGCAGAGGTTTGGCAGAGGTCTGTAGAGCTAAGAAGCGGCTCTCCCCCTCCACCCCCAGCCAGGCGGCCCCTGGGCTTTCTGGCTGTTCTGTGTTCGCTGCCACTTGCACACTTGGAAAAGATGAAGCATGCGCGCCAGTCGCCCTCGGGTAGGTCTCGTACACAAAGGGCTTATCGTGGCTTGATGTAGCACTTAATGGTTGAGAAAATAGTCTAAAGAAGTCGGGACTTCCCCAGGTGGCAGGAAGGAACCAGGCAAACACCTGCAGTTTGTCACCTCTGCCTTCTTCGTGTGTCACAGGCCTTCAGACGCTGTGAGGGTTTCCCCTTTTGTTTGTTTTGAGCATACTAGACAGGCATTTCACTTCTGAGCTACATCCCCAACCTTTCTAGTTTGGTTTTGAAGGAATTTATTTTTGTACTTTTGGATTAAACCAGAGCTTCCACACTGAGCTACATTCCCTGCCCTTTGTCTTATTTTTAATTTTGAGACAGTCTTAGTCACTTAGGTGTCTTGATTGGGCTCAAATTCTCCTGCCTCAGCCTTCCAGAGTGCTGGAATTACCAGCTCCAACAGGCCTGGCTTTAAAAGATTTTAATTCTTAACACTGGTTTTTTTGTGGTGATTGTTGACAAGGAGGCTAAAAAAGTCCAGGAAGCTGGATGTGGTGGCAAATTCCTGTAATTCTAGCCCTCAAAAGGTTGATGCAGGATAATCTCACTTTCAAGATTAATAGTGAGCATTGCCAGACAGACTGTCTCAAAAAACAACAACAAAGAAGAAAAATATGCAGGAAACAGTAGGTGATCGATTATGTCTGATAGATATGGTTATCAGGAATATTCACTTGGTGAATAATGAATTAATTGGCAGAATCAGTGAGAGACGAGCCACCACGTAATCCGGCTCTTTGACCTTCTAGTCTCATGGTGAAAATTCAATCTCTGCTCAAGACTAGGCCTCTCAGGCCTCCCATCCGAACTGGTGGGGATCCTAACTGCCCAGGCTGGAAGGCAAAGTCCTCTCTGGCGCTGGGCGGGGCCTGCAGAGGTCTGGTGACTGCGTTTCCCTGGCAACGCCTTGTTCCCAGCAACTGCTGCGGGCTGCGGTCCACTGGGAGCTGCGGGGAGAGCGAGAGGCTCCTGCCATGAATCCGCCGGGGTCCATGGGGGTGCAGGAGCACAGTGCAGAGGAGCCCTTATCCAACCCCATTCACACGCCCTCAATACTTTCTGACGACCCGCAGGAGCGGATCCAGGCCCGGCGCCTCCGCATCGCGGCGCGCGTGGAAGCCAGGAGGCGGTGAGCGGTCTGGGTGGGTCCAGTGGGGTGTGGGGGGATCGGTGTCTCCTGAGTGTGAGCTGGACTTGCGCTTTGATGAGCTAAGAAACATTTCCCCGGCAAAGTTTAAGCAGAACATGAGATATTAAAGACATTCCATACTCTTGTACAGTCCAGAGTGAAGACAGCACATTGGGCGCTTTACTGAGAGCCTGAGACTCGGGCAGTGTGAACCACATCACGGAGCATTCAGGGGTCCATGACCTGCCCCGGGCTCCTCCTTTCCGCCATCTGGCCCAGCCTCCCTTCATTCCACAAGTGTTTATTTAGTGGACCTCACTATCAGTTCTGCTGGTCACAGTGGCTTGTCTGGCTGGGTGAGAAACCTGCTTTCCTGGAATCTGGGACCCTGATGGCCTTACCCTCCTGGGGCTGACTGGCCTGGTCACAGTAACCACGGCTGAGGGAGGACCCCCGGGCACCTGAACCCCTGCTGTGCTCACTGGGCAGCAGCTCATGTAGCTTCTGCTGAGCTGGATTGGATGCCCGGCCAAAAGGGTTTCCTTTCTTGCCCGCTGGGCATGGGCGTTTGGATCCCAAGGTGCTCAGGTAGCAGCCCTCACTTTTAGCTCCTTTGGATATTTGCTGTGTGCCTTGACTGCTTTTCTGTGGGGGGAGCTTCTGGCTGCAGTCACCTGTGAAGACCAGAAGCATAGACTCCACCAGGGCAGTTAGGCAGGGCGGTAGGTGGGCCCACTCCACTTGTGTGCAGTGACTGCCAGACCTGATGTTTTTCGGCTGGCACAGAGGCACATAGAAATCTCGGGTGCAGTGCACCTTTGCGTTCTGGAGAGTGGCTCTCCCTTCTTCTGGCTGCCTCCAAACTGGTGCCATTCCAGCCTCCCCAGGCTGCCTGGCCCAGGGTGGTAGGATATGTGGTGTGACCAGTGCATATGAACTGAGTTACTTGGCCCAGTGGTCCGTGGTGTAGGATTCCACGCCTGAGGATCAAGCAAACCCTAGCCCCTTGGTAATGATGCTGGCCAATGCTCCGCAGGCCTCTTTTCCTTTGCAAAAGGCACGCATGTAACTGGGTACATCGCTTGAAGCTCTGCCCATTACGAAGACTTCATCAGTGCCTTCCAGTGTCATCCTGGAGCGTGGCTGTCATGGCTTGTGTTTCCAGCCTGAGCCCTAGACCACGCCAGATGATGTATAAACTGTACTCAGGCTATTTCTTTCTCCCTCGGCTGGTCATTTGGGGCCGCTGCAGACCCACAGGGCGCTAGTGCAATCATGGAGGCTGATGGGGGTGCGGGCCACCTGTGTATTCAGCTGACTCCTGCCTCTGCTCCTGCTCCAGCTCCAGCTCCAGCTCATATCTACCGTTTCCATCTTACAGTGGATGCCACTGGACCACCAGACCTCCTTCCTGTCTTGTTAGATCCAATACACAGAACTTGTGACTGGTATTTGTGGATATTTGCTCACTTAGTACCTCTTGTCCAACTGTTTACTCTCCATCAGGGTTTGGAACTTGCCAGGAGTGGTTTTTAATACAGTGGATAACTCTCCAGTGCACATGGCCTGGCTGTGCTCTAGAATTCCAGGGCTTGGGCTGTGCGTCTGTCCCTTGGAGCTTACCATAAATCCAAATCACACCTTTTCCACTGAGCCACAAGGTCTGCCCGCTAACTGTGGCCCAGGTGGCCCGGCTGCTTGCACTGTGCCCTGGGCCTGCTGAAAGGTCTCTACCTGTGCATGGCACCTCTCACAGCCAGCAGCCTGAATGGTATTCCTCACTGGAGAATGTGTTGCCTCTAGGGACCAAACTGGCCTAACAGGTGATGAGTTTCCAGCTCTCTGTAGGAAATGCAAGATGCATTAAATTATGCATGTGTATGTTTTAATTTGCTGTGATGTCTCAGCATTCCACTAACCACTGGATCCCTAAGAACTGCAGTGTTGTGATAAGGCCATGAATTTGCAAAGGTTTTATCACCCAGGCTCTTGATCAGACTTCTCTGGACCTGCCTTGTGTCCCCACCTCCTGATCACCATGATGCTATTCCTGTTATGCAGACAGGCTATTGTTACTATAAAGGACCAGATAGAACGTATTTTAGACTCTTAAAGTTACCTGGTCTCCATCTCAGCCGCTTAACTTGGGCATGGTTCTGATATGTTCTAATAAAGTATTGTTTACAGACATTAAAATTTGAGCTTCATATAATGGCCATATATCACAAAATAGTCTTCCTCTTGATTTTAAACTTTATTTTTTAGAGTGGTTTTATGATGATAACAGAATTGAGCAGAAAGAGCAGAATTCCCTTATTCCTCTGAACCCCTTGGTGTAACCCCTATGAGCATCTCACACCAGCGGGTCCGTCTGTTGTAACCAATGAACCTGCAGTGATGCATTAGCATCACCCAAAGTTCCTAGCTTTCCTCAGGGCTTGTGCTTAGGGCTGCATATTCCATGGGTCTGGGTAAATCTCCAGTGGCATTTATCCACTATGGCACCATGACTGTCTCATCAAGTACAGAAGTTGGCTTCCTGAAGTGTTTAGTCAATGGTAGAAAGCTAACATACTGTTCTAGAAAAAAATCTCTGTGCTCTGCGGGTTTATTCTAATCTTTTTAACCATTTAAAGTTATAAAATCATTCTTTGCCTGGCAGCCATACGAAACCAGTCATAGTTTGCAGGCCTGAAGTAGGGGCTCGCTGTGCTGTTGTGTGGACGAGCTGGATGTTCCTGATCTATTCAGAATATCTCAGGACAGCGACCATAAGAATTGCGGTTGCCCTGTAGCTATATATTGTGGCGTGTCCCGTGTAAATGTGAACTCCTTTTTTTTCTGGTTGTGATGAAGAAAAAAGCATTTAGCACACTCACTGGCCACGTTCCCTGGGTGGAGGCTGCACGGCTCGGCACTAGCAGGTATTAGAGCTGCGTGGCAGCTGTGATCAGGATCGCTACTAGGTTGAGCCCGCGGCATTGATAGTCGTGTGTGGCAGCCCGTCCAGTGTCTGCAGGTACCAGGCTTGTGAACCATATGGAGATTGAAGAGGAGTCACCTCTCTGGCACCCACTCTTCCCTGCGCCCCACTGCCATGTCGCCTTTGTTTAAGCAGGTGCAGTTTCAAAGGGAGGCATCCATTGGGCCTTCCCAGCCATGACAGCTCTGGCGCCCAGCCCAGGACCTCGTGTGGACTGGACGTTCTATATAGGCAATCCCAGTTTGAATTTTGGGGACCATAAAAATGACCATTGGCAGAGTGCACAGCCCTGGACAGCTTCTGTAAGCAGGGCTTAGGCTGCCGTGGGCCTTCATTCTAGTCGGGTCAGAGCATGGTGCTGGTTTGGTCTCTCAGCAGTGGTGACTCAGGCCCTGTTCTAACAGTCCTAAGACTCTGTAGATATCACCGTTTCCTACTAATAGTCCAGTAGATGACCATAGGCCCCTTCTTGGGGAAGTTCTTGGGCCATTGTGTGCCAAGTCCTTCCTCCTGAGGATGCTATTGCTTCTTTAGTTAATAGGTTCTGAGTGTGAAACTTGGCGAAGTTTCGGGAATTAGGCAAGGAACAGTGAATTTTAATTGGCATGGCCGTTCTCAGCCTAGTTCTCCTTTCCAGCTTTCTTTGGCTAACATAAGCAAGGCGTTACCAGGTGAGCTCCCCTGGACCTAGTTGGCAGCTGTTCCCTGTTGCCCCACGTTAAGCTATAATTAACCATCCCCAGATCTCCCTGTGGGTCCAGCCCTCAGCTGCCTGCCACACTGCCCTTGGCAGTGGTGCTGGGGAGTCAACGGGAACAAGACAAACACAATCTTTTTCCTTGGGAAGCTTATATTCTTTTTTTGGTCGTTTTTGAGATGGGGTCTCGCTATGCAGTTCATGCTGGCATTGAGCTCACTTTGTAGCCCAGGTTGGTCTCAAACTCACAAAGATCCTCCCATCTTGGCCTCCTGAGTGCTGGGATTATAGGTGTGAGCCACCAGGCCCGGCTGGGAGCTTATATTCTAAAGAGGAGATAAAATAAAGTCTAACAAGACACACAAGCAAGCAACAATGTAATTGTCCTAATTGTGATAATTGACCTAAAGGACCCAAACCAAGAAACCTAATGGTAGGGACACAGGGTGGCCTGAAAGAAAAGACCACCTTAGAGAGTGGGTTTGAGCATAGGTTACAGTGAGGACTTTGTCGGCCATAATAATGGTGTGGAGGTTATATTTTAAAAGGCTGTCTTTTAAAGATGCATTCTGAAGTTTTTATGGCAAGATGGTGGGATATCTTGGATTACTTATCATGCTGCGTTCTCTCAAGTGGGAGAAAGGAGAGAGAAAACAAGTTGGTGGTGTACCAAGAACTTTTGGAAGATGGAGGACTATGACGTTCTCATTTTTTTGTATATGTAAACTCTTCCAAATTAAATATGTAAGACAGAGAGAGAGACAGACAGACAGACAGACAGCTAGAGAAAGTCTGTCCTAGGAGTTCAAAGGCCTGAAGTGGAAAGAAACCTTTCTCTCCTGTGCTAGGGTTGAGGGAATCCCTGTCGTACAGGAACGGTGAGCGGTGCAGAGTAGTTGGAACATGCCCGGGAGGTGAACAGGGCCAGAGGGGGCCGGACGAGTTCACTGGGGATTTTAAGTGAATGGGAACATATTGAGGGTGTTGGTGACTTTGCCTTCGGATCTCTGTGCTTGCTCTTTGGGAAATGGTCTGGGGGAGCCAAAAGCACAAGTGGGAAGATCAGTTAGAAGGCAGGCGCTTCGGTTCTGGTGATAGATGGGGCCGGGCCGGACTTACGGGGGCAGCGGGTGAGAGAGGAGCGGATATATTCAAGACACACTGTGGAGTCTGTATCTGCTAACTGATTGGCTGTTAGAGTAAAATCAGGACAGAAGCAAGAATGGTTTGAACAGATGAGTAGGTGGTGGTGCCTGTTACTAGGATGATGATAATGAGACCATGGTAGGAGCACTGAGGCAGAACCTAGAAGTCAAGGGT